CAACATACTAACTCTCAAATCCAGAGGGAAATCTTAAGTTCAGTTATGTAATAATATCCTCCCAATACTCCAAAAGTATAAAATTTCATAGTGAAAAAGGAGTATTTTCTTATCAGTGAATACTGACTCCAATTCAGTGATACCAATATAGATAGCAAGCTACAAAGCAATTTACTAGTAAATGAAGCCAAATGCCATACAAGCTGTACTTTAAAAACAAATGATGCACTAGTCGTTAGGGAAATGTAAATCCAAGCCACATCACAAGTAGGAATGGCTACTACTAAAACAACAAAGTAGGCTGGGCATGGTGGCTCACACCTGTAATTCCAGCACTTTGGGAGGCCGTGGCATGATGGCAGGCAGCTGTAATCTCAGCTACTCAGGAGGCTGAGGCAGGAGAAGCACTTGAACCCAAAGGTGGAGGTTGCAGTGAGCCGAGATTGTGCCCCACACTCCAGCCTAGGCAACAGAGCAAGAATCCATCTCAAAACAAAACAAAATAATGTTGGTGAGAACGTGGATAAATTGGAACGGTTGTGCCCTGTTGGTGAAATGTTAAATGGTGCAGAAAACAGCACGGTGGTTCCTCAAATTATTAAAAATAGAATTATCACATGATACAGCAATTTCACTTCCAGTTATATACCCAGAAGAATTAAAAGCAGGGTCACAAGATAGGTGTACACTCACGTTCACAGCAGGGTTATCCAGAACAGCTAAAAGATAGTAGCAACCCAAGAGTTCATCAATAGACTAACAGATAAGCAAAACGTGGTCTATACATACAATAGATTATTCAGCCTTAAAAAGGAAAGAAACTCTGACCAGGCGCGGTGGCTCACGCCTGTAATCCCAGCACTTTGGAAGGCTGAGGTGGGCAGATCACCTGAGGTCGGGAGTGACCAACATGGAGAAACCACATCTCTACTAAAAATACAAAATTAGCCAGGTGTGGTGGTGCATGCCTATAATTCCAGCCACTCAGGAGGCTGAGGCAGGAGAATCGCTTGATAACAGGTCACACTGAATGGCAGAAAATACAGTATTGCTTTTAACTACTCTGTGCAAGGGATAAATGACTAAGGGCCTTGTACCTCGTTTCCTCCCCTTCTCTGAGATCAGTGAGCACTTTCGGAGCTTATAATGCAGGTTCAAGGAGCTAGGAATCACAGGTGCAGCTTGCATTTCAACTTTTAAGATCAATTGGTTAGCTTCCTTTGACTACAAAGCTCTTCTCAATTTCTCTAGTACAGTCTTAACTTGATATGAAGCACTTACACGAGGAATGGTGCAGACAAGAAGGCAGCTTTATTGTACTTTGGGGGAGAAAAACATGATTCCATTTAGTGGGGGAAAAAAAGCCATTGACACTCAGTAAGCAACACTGCCATCTAGTGGAATGGTGACACACCACCAAGACTTTCAAGACCAGATAGGAAACGTGAGTGCATTTGGTTTCAATTTTCACCATAAAACAGCACTTTTAATAAGCTGGTTTTCAGAGAACCTCAGATTTTTTTTCAGAAACTGCTTTTATCTTTAAAATGCACATGTATGTGCTTTGTTTTTGGTGGAGCGTTAAGAATGAGTTGTATTTTTCTTATTAAACCATAAAATTAATTCTCAACTTGAAAGTTATGAAACACTTTGGGGCAACCTGCCTCTTTGAACACCCATCACTTTGGCTTGACAGTCGAACAGCAACCCCTGATTATGATAGCAGTTTATAAAGAAGCAAAACTCAACTGTACAAGAATGACATTGTTTTCTCATTTCCTCTATTTTTACAATCTATGGTGCTAAGTATTTGTACTTCACTTATTTGAATTTCTGGAAAAAATCATTAGAACACACCAATAACAATTTTGCATAAACCACTTAACCCAACTCTTATTATGACTGCACAGTAACAGTGGAAGATATTGGTGTGAGGATGTGGGAATGCAGTTCTTAATGAATAATCAAGCAATTCTCCAGGTTTTAATTCACCTTTATACCCACGTGTTGCAGTGAATGTGTTGATTTGATGACTTCTATGAGCATATAAATGAGAATGCTTAATGAAACACCTGGATGAAAAAAGAAATAAAGTTGTGAGAATAACATATTGCTAATAACCACAATCTCACATCAGCATTTCTGTTATTACTGAGATTTCAAATTCTGGGTTAAGAGCCATGCTCTTTGGAATATCCACAATGGTTACTGATCTTGCTAATGGTTTCCTCTATTGCAACGTTTCTGGGTTTATGGTTGGAAGCACTCACGGATTCCAGAATGCATGAGTCTGACATGGTCTTCATCAAACCATATTCCTGGCAAATAATAAACTCCGTTAAGGATTTCAGAAAAGAGCCAAGCTCTGGGAGAGAGGTATACAAGTGTAGAGTAAGAAGTTGAATTAAAACATTTTTAGTTGCATTGTCTGTAGACAAAACTGAATGTTTCAATTCTGAGAACCTGAGATTGTCCAGAAAAAGTTAGTTCAGTGTGTGGGACATGAACAATCACAAAGTCAGAACCAGGTTATTTTGCATTTCTCACAGCAGCATTAACTGGGGAGTGGGGGTGGTACCTGAAGTACTATATCTGAATGAGCCTGGGGTTGTGGGAGTTGTCTTTTTTTTTTTTTTTTTTTAACTGCCTCAGCGTTCAATGCAATTTGCAATTATCTCCCCTTCCCCCGAGTCTGAAGCCTTCTTTCTCCCATATTCAAATTGTCTGCGTCATTCACATAATGCTACTATTTGGGTACTCCTGAAGCCAAAGCAATAAAAAATGCTAGGGGAGCCTTATATTAATTCAAACATGATGCCAAAGTCATCTCCAAAAAAGTTTATTAGCATGATTAAAAACATTTTCTTGAATAATAACAAAGAATTTCTAAGCATGAAAGAATATCAGTGGCTAAACCTTAAAACCAGTATTTGGAACTGAATGGACAGCTTTATTGCCAGTCTTCATTTTATTAAAAACAATCCATTGATTGGCTCCATGAAGTCGTGACTATTGCTTTGTCTGGGAATGAGTCCCTACTGCAATTAAGTATAAAAAATATCTTCCATCATAATTGGAGTGTGACCTGCATTAGAGAGTGGCTCTGAGTAAAGAGTTGATAAAAATCCACAAAGAGTTGGGTTTTTCTCTTTTAAAAACATTCCTTTACACACTACAAAGAAATAATTAGTATTTTGGCTTTTAAAATTCCTACATGATATTTAGAATGGCGGTCCCCAAGGGTCCTCCCTTCACATAATTGTGAATGCAGACCCTCTTCCGAGGGCACATCCCAGAGGGTGCGGACTCTGAAGACTTCAACCTCCCCATGTTTATACTGGTTTGAGAACAAAGACAGCGTCATCCAGAACGTAGTAGTCATTATACATGTCACCTTCACACAGGTATGGCAGTCTGGTGAAAGCTTCAATAACAAAACCGGCTTTTCTGAAAACTTCAGGCAGACTATTCACTTGTTCTTCCCAGTTCTGTCCCTTGATTTCCAAAATTTCCGATGGTTTCTCCCACTTGCCACCTACTAATACAAATAAAAACATTCAGTTAAATTCTTGAACAAACAAGTGATTTTAAAAAGGGAAGTAGGGAGGAGCCATATCTGTCAATGCCTTGGTATGTGCCAGGCCTGAGGGCTTCACAAGTTACCTTTTACACTTCCCAGGTACTCCTTGAGACAGATGGACTCAGAGATAAATAACAGACTCAGAAGGGCTGAAGAACTTCCCCACACTTGCAAGGTTAATGAGTGTCAGTATGGAAATGTAAGCCCAGTTTGTCTGGATCCAAAGCCCACACTGTTATCTTCTCTGATGGTTTTGGGTAGTATCTGCCAATAGACTGACTGGGGGGTGTAACGGTTAATGGGTTTGGAAAACTGGTCATTAAATGCTGGAATACTGAAACAGAGAGCAACATGTAATATTTGAAAGAGGGTTTTGGACAAATGCAAGAAAATACCACTGGTTGTAGTAAACATTACCTAGAGAGATTTATTAGGCTGAAAATAAAAATAGGCTCATGAAGGATTTTAATTTATACAAACAGATCATTGGAGAGTTTTTCAAGGGAAGTTGACCCATTCCCTGCCTTTTCAGAACAAGTTTATAAACATTAAGCTCCAGGACCAGAGAGGTGGAACACCAGGATGGATGCACCCTCCGACATTTCTTGGACTACAGATGAAGTCTCTTTCAGTCATTTCCAAACCTATGAGCAGGAGATGCCTGTGGTACAAGGGGATTAGGTAAGGTCCTCTAATTCACATACGAGCCCAGCACTGACTACAGACAACACACAAAGATGACAGCATATTTAACTTTGGGGGTGCTTTTTAGGTGCTATGGTGATACAAAAACTACATATATCCTTTGAAGTGTTAAAACCAGACTGAGAATAACTTCCTGTTAATGAGAAAATACATAATGAGCAGATGCCAAAGGCACAGACACCATGGTGGAGAGATTTTTCCTAACTTTCAGTGACGCAGATGACGCTCTTCCCATGTCTGGGGAATTGCCTGCCCAGAGTCTGGGAGAGAGGCAAGGGCTGGGAGCCGGCTTTCCTGGCCTGCCAGGGAGCTGAGGCACCGGCAGGCAGCCTGAGCCAAGCACACTTGCCGGAGCCCTGGAATGAAGAGCCAGTGACCCAGAGCAGTGGGGACATGAGCTTCTCCATCTCTGGGAGTGGAGCAATGGCAGTGAGACCAAGGGGCCAGGGCAGTGGTTGAGGGATGCTGACGACAGGGCTGACGGCACCCAGTGCTTGGCAGTGGCAGCAGCATGCTCTTCAGACCCATTAACTGTGATTTGGGGCATTCTTCCTGGCTGTAGATCCCACACAAGGTTCACTAGCCCTCCCAGTGACTCTAGGAGCTATCCCCAAATGCTTGCAATAAATTTCCTTTTGCTTAAGTCAGCCTGAGTCTGCTTCTGCTGCTTACAAAGGAGAGCTTTACTCAATCACCACTAAGCGTCAGGGGAGAGGCACGGGGGACAGAGGGCCCACATATTTGTTTCTCAACACATTAAAAAGGGGTCTCTGGGCCAGGCAGGGTGGCTTACACTTGTAATCCTAACACTTTGGGAGGCCAAGGCAGGAGGGTTGCTTGAGGCCAGGACTAGCCTAGACAACATACAATCTACAACAAAATAAAAATTAGCTGGGCATGGTGGTGCATGTCTGTAGTCCCAGCTACTCAGGAGGCTGAGGCTGCAAAGGGCCACAATCTTGCCACTGCACTCCAGTCTTGGTGAAAGAGACCCTGTCTCAAAAAAGGCGGAGGGGGGAGGTTTTTTTGGATTCAAAGCTGGAATACAACTAGTTAATAAAAGACAATTTATTTCTTCACTGCACTAGAATGTGTTGTTTACTAACTTTTCTCTTGTCTCTACCTGAAGCCACTTCTCCTTCTGCTGTTTCTTTGTTCCCAGCAGTTACTGGCCCAGAGTGGGACCCACAGCAGGTAGCCTGGACAGTGACTGAACTGTTCTGAAAAAATCCAAGTACGAATTGTCTGTCAAAGAACACTCCTTCTTCCTGGGAATATGTGCTATGTGCAAATCAAGATCCAAGAACATCTAACACCTAAGAGGACCGTAAAATCCATGGGAAAAAATGATACACACATTTCTAAATGTGCTCCAGGTCAAAATCTCACCGTCAAATGGTGAAGCTGTGTTACAAACCATCCTTACACAATTTCAAAAAGTTCCTGATTATGGTTGCTTCATAAGAGGTTCCTCTCTTCAGCTCTTCCCTTCTGAAAAAAAGAAAGCCAACTTTCCTTTTGAATACACACCCCAACCCGCCCCAGCACACACAGAAATGGGGACTGTGAGCAGAAGCAACCTCGCTCGCCATCTGCAAACCAATCTCATTCTATTTTATGTCGGTAAGGTTCGTTTTCTTCTCCTCCTTCATTTTATTTAAATCGCTTGCTATTTTTCACCTAATGCGTTTATATTTTAAGCTCCTTCAGATTAATTTTTAAATGTATAACATTATGGAAATTGCCTAAGGGGACAGGTTTCCTTTTTCCCCTAAGAAATAGATAATAAAGAAAACAGCTGAGAAAAAGTTTCACATTAACCTTGAAAAGTCTCTTTGCTATTATGCTGCTTTGGAGACGATCTGACAAAGGGTTGAAAATATTATTAAAATAATATGTACAAGTCATCAACAATTGTCATGCAAACTTGATGTGCACATAAAAAACATTAAACAATATTTGCTGAATAGTTTCAAAGAACAATTTCTATAAAAGTACTTTTCATTTAAGAAAAAAAAAACTACCATGACTCCTTCTATAGAGAATAGCCATCCCATAATGTATTTTTAAAATTCTGCCTACCCCTGTTTTTTATCTATGAAATAGAAAGTAGGGCAGGGAAGGGGGCAAAGTTCTTAAAATTAATTTTTTCTTATCTGTAAAGAAATACACCAAAATGTTAATGGGGGTTATTTCAGGCAAAAGGACTATGGGTGACTTTTTGCTTCTACTTTTAATAATCTGTTTTATTTCCTAATAAGCATATATTACTTTCATAGACTGTTTTAATTAGCATTATTTTAAAGAAGAATTCTCTTTTAGAGATAGATTCTGAAAGATATTTGCAGATATGGCTGGGATTTGCTCTAAAATAATATGGGCATGAGGGAGTAGGTGGGAGGAGAAAAAAACAAGATTGAGTGGAAGCAGGGGATGACTACTATCTGCTACTTTGATATGTTAGAAATTTGAAACCTAATATAATAATAATTTTTTTAAAAGCTTTGGGCTGGGCATAGTGGTTCATGTCTGTAATCCCTGCACTTTTGGGGCCAGAGTGGGAGGAGAGCTTGAGCCCAGGAGTTCAAGACCAGCATGAACAACATAATGTGACCCTCATTTCTACACAATAAAAAAATTAGCTAAGCGTGATGGCATGCACCTGAAGCCTCATCTACTTGGGAGGCTGAGGCAGGAGGATCACCTGAACCCAGGAGTTTGAGGTTGCAGGGGAGCTGTGATCGTGCTACTGCACTCCAGCCTAGGCAATAGAGCAAGACACTTACTTACTTCTTACTTACTAGATAGACAGCTTTGTTTAAAAGTCAAGAATTAGTTTCCAATTTACTTTCAATATGGTTTGTTTTGTTGTTGTTGTTGTTGTTTTTGAGACGGAGTCTTGCTTTGTCGCTCAGGCTGGAGTGCAGTGGCATGATCTCAGCTCACTGCAACCTCCACCTCCTGGGTTCAAGTGACTCTCCTGCCTCAGCCTCCTGAGTAGCTGGGATAATAGGCCCCATGCCACCACACCCAGCTAATTTTTGTATTTTTAGTAGAGACAGGGTTTCACCATGTTGGTCAGGCTAGTCTCGAACTCCTGACCTCATGATCTACCCACCTCGGCCTCCCAAAGTGCTGGGATTACAGGCATCAGTCACCTCACCTGGCTGGTTTTTTAAAATAATAAAAATAATCTTTTTATTCCCTCCACCGAGGAAATAAATCTTCAACATTTTCATTGGATACTGTGTTTAAAAAACAAATCCTAGACTATGAGGATTCTTAAAAGAAATTTTTCACAGGAGCAGGCTGTGGTGTGACATATCCAAACTTCTCTTTTTTGTTAATATGTTGCCTAAGTGGTGGGGGAAGGGAACTGCAGTTTTGTCACAAGTCCCTGCTCACATAGGAAATCACTGCAGTTGGTTTTCTCCCGCACTCAGACTAATTGGGAAGAAGGCAGAAATAAGCAGAGATATGAAATTCCAAAGTTACAAACGCCTGTTTTTTTAATCCTATATTACTAGTTTTTAAAGAAAAATGTTAAAAGTCAGATCCCCCCAACCTTGTTTTTTTTTTGAAACAAGAGTCTCACTCTGTCACCCAGGCTGGAGTGCAGTGGCACAATCTCAGCTCACTGGAACTTCCACCTCCTGCGTTCAAACAATTCTCTTGCCTCAGCCTCTCAAGTAGCTAGGGATTACAGGCATCTGCCACCACACCTGGCTAATATTTTTATTTTTTAGTTGAGATGGGGTTTCACCATGTTGGCCAGGCTGGTCTTGAACTCCTGACCTCAGGTGATGTGCCCACCTCAGCCTCCCAAAGTACTGGGATTACAGGCATGAGCCACCACGCCCAGCCTCTATTCCTTTGATAGAGACAGGGCTGCACAATGCTACCCAGGCTAGAGTGCAGTGGTGGCATCAGAGCTCACTGCAGCCTGGAATTCCTGGGCTCAATCAGCCTACCGCCTCAGACTCCTGAATAGCTGGGACTAATGGGCACACCACCACGCCTGGCTCCTTAGATCCCTTTTAAAAACACTATCTGATTTGGAAGGCTGAGGTAGATATATTGTTAGAGCTCAGGAGTTTGAGACCAGTCTGGCCAACATGGCAAAACCCTGTTTCTACTAAACATAAAAAAAAATTAGCTAGGCGTGGTGGTGCACGCCTGTAGTCTCAGCTACTCCAGAGGCTGCAGCGAGAGGACTGCTTGAGCCCAGGAGGCAAAGGCTACAGTGAGCTGAGATCCCACCACTGCATTCCAGTTTGGGCGACCCTATCTCAAAAATAAAAATAATGTGTAAATAATGGAATCATCCACTGTTTAAAAATAATTATGCAAAAGATGACTTGAGATTGAGACACTGCTTAACCTTGCTAAGTTCTGGCAAACCCAATTCCATTTTACATTTCTAATCAGTAAATACTATAAAATGTTTCACTGTACTTGTAAGGTGCTTGAGTCTGGGCAGGATACATGAGGTTGTATTTCTCAGACTTGAGAGAGGATCCAGTCCCCTTGGCTGGAGATGGAGCTGAGCTAGGTCTCCCGCAGACCTGAAGCTCTGAGAAGCCTGCAGGCCTCCTCCAGGTGATTGTACCCTCTTGTTTGGTTTGCATTTATCAGGTCACCACAGAGCTCCCAGCTCATCTCACATAGCATAAATACCAAAATATAACATGGTGAGAAGAGGGCCAGACGTGATGGCTCACACCTGTAATTCCAGCACTTTGGAAGGCCAAGGCAAGCAGATTGTTTGAGTTCAGGAGTTCAAGACCAGCCTGGGCAACATGGTGAGACCCCGCTGATACCAAAAATACAAAAATTAGCTGGACACAGTGGTACATGCCTGTAGTCCTCACTACTTTTTAGAGGCTAAGGCAGGAGGATGGCTTGAACCCAGGAGGTCAAGGTTGCAGTGAGCCATGATTGCACCACTGCACTCCAGCCTGGGAGACAGAGACTCTATTTAAAAACAGTAACAAAAACAAACACACAAGAAAAACCCGGTGAGAAGAGACTCGCATTACAAATGGCATGATTCTAACTTTAATTCTCTGCTGTTATGAATGGGGACCCATAAGTGAAACACTAAGAGAAAAAAGCCCCTGTCTTAAAGTTAAGCATCAGGCCACTTGGAATGACTTTTCAATTCCATTTACAGTAGCAAAGGACAAATTCACACAAATAGAAACATTGGGGAACATACGACCAGGCTGAAGTCAGACCAAAACCTTGACAAATTCCAATTTGTCTCAACCAATACTGTTTTACCTACGGCCTCCCCTGCCGCAAGAAGGGTTTAGGGCGGGTCTTTCCATTTGTGCACCTGAGTAGCTTTCCACCTTCACATGCCTGGGATATGAAGGCCAAGGTGGGGGACTTAACTTGGAAGACCACTGCATGTTGGAAAGTGCACTGGACTGGGTGACTAGTCCCAGCTCTGTGAACACACCTCGCAGACAGATGTCCACAACCATCTCTCAAATGGCCACCTGACACTGTGGGAACAGTTGCAGTGATGGCTGCAGCAGCAATCACTGCCTTCTATTAAATACTTACTATAGCTTAGGCAGGTGAATACTCCCTAGGCATCGTCTTGAACGTCACACTAACCGCATGAGGTCAATAATACTATCCCCATTTGCTAATGAGGAAACTGAGACGCTGAGATTATAATGCTGGGAACAGGCAGAGCTAGGATCTGAACTCAAGTCTGTGCTCTTTACAATATTGTTAATTAAATGAGATAAATGCTACAAGGGCCTACAAAGCAGCACACACGTGCCAGGAAGAAAACAAATCTGCTTAGCCATGGCCTGGCGAGCTCATTTGGTCCCTGCTCAGTAATCAAAGACATAGCAGGCTAAGCCAGGGCTGCATTTCCACAGGTGTACATCTTGCCTTTTATCATGTTTCCCAAAGGGACACCAGGCTCACAAAGGTACAATTGTGAACAGCCATGAATTCCTGGCAATCCCAACTCCCACAAAGCACAAACATCGCTGCTGCTCATGGGTTCCATCAGCGGCAGCAGCAGCGTTTGTCTGGGGAGCTTTGACACAGGGTACCGCACTGAACACAGCACTCCAGGAAGGCCAGGGTGCGAATGAGGGAGGAGGCTGGGAGATTAAGTGATTGGATCGAAGGAAAGCTTGTAAGGAGAGTCACAGACGCCCCAAACTTCTGACTCCAATATGGTGCCACCTCTGTGCAGGACTCTGTTCCCCTGGAGCCTCTCTAGGGCTGGCCTCATGTCAGTGAACAGACATCACGTGACCCAGCAGGTCAAGGTCAGAAAACAGGAGCAGTTGGGACAAGTGAGGACCACTGGTGTCTATTTTTAGTCTTATTTACATTGGGATTAAGGTAAGAAAAAGAACAGAATGGCTGGGTTTCCTACCCCAAAATTATAAGTAAAATAAAAGCACAGGCGAAGTGAGGTGAGAAGCCCATTAAACCACTCATCTGCTTCCTCCCACAGGTGTTTTAGGTGCCTGTACTGTCTCCGTCACACAACCACAGTACATAGAAGTGGACTACACTTACGAGGCTGTCACCATAAAGTGTACCTTCTTCGCAACCGGGTGCCCTTCCGAGAGACCAACACACCTGTGGTTTCGCTATGGCGCTCACCAGCCTGAGAACCTGTGCCTGGACGGGTGCAAAAGTGAGGCAGACAAGTTCACAGTGAGGGAAGCACCCACAGAAAACCAGGTTTCTCTCACTGTAAACAGAGTGACTTCAAATGACAGTGCAATTTACATCTGCGGAATAGCATTCCCCAGCGCACTGGAAGCAAGAGCTAAGCAGACCGGAGGAGGGACCACACTGGTGGTAAGAGGTCAGTCAGCAAGGCTTTATTTCAGTGCATCATTGCATCTTGTTCAGACCTGTAAAATCATTACCTCACTCACATGCAGAAATCAGGAGATAAATTTGCTAAGTGAATACCTTAGTCAGTAAAGGGTGTGATCTGAGCACAAGTCACCATGAGGTTTGTACTAAAGAACCACTCCTAACTGGTTGGACAGGGTGGCTCACACCTGTAATCCCAGCACTTTGGGAGATCAAGACGAGCCAATTACTTGAGGTCAAGAGTTCAAGGCCAGCCTGGCCAACATGATGAAACACATCTCTACACAAAATACAAAAATTAGCCGAGCGTGATGGCATGCACCTGAAGTCCCAGCTACTTGGGAGGCTGAGGCAGGAAAATCCCTTGTAACCCAGGAGGCGAAGGTTGCAGTGAGCCGAGATCATGCCACTGCACTCCAGCCTGGGTGATAGAGCAAGTCTCCAACTCAGAAAAATAAAATAAAAGAACTACTCCAACTCATTTCAAACATCCACTAACACAAAGTCAGTGATATGCTGGTGCTCTATTCTCTCTTCACAGTGAAGGCTAACCTTCACATGAGCCATGCTCATCCCTTTTGTATATTACAGTGATTTAGTGTAAAGTACCATGTCCAAAGGGAAGCTTGTGGTGAGTAACTATCAGCTTTCTCAGGAACTGGTCTGGTAATGCACCATCTAGAACAAAGTGCTAGAGAAGCCTAAGTGATCAATAAATTGGACCCACAGAAAATATGCAATATGGAGAATAAGCACAGATTTGGAGAGAAGCTACTCAGGGATCTCTGAGCTTTCCCATTCTGCCTGGACATCACTTCCTAATATTTGGTAAAACCCATGACAATTCCTCACCTGAGCAAGGACATCGAACACAGGTAAATTCTATCAGTAATTTCACCAAGTCATTCCCTTGAGAAGACTAAGATTAAGAAATTTCAGAGAAAAAAAAAGGAATTTCAGAGAAAAAGCTTTACATGATTCTGAAAAAAAAAAAAGAGAGAGAAAAGCAGCAACTCCTTGCCTTGCTGGGGTCTCTTCCCCTAGAAAGGACCCTGGTATGATGGGCACTGAGATCATTAAAACATTAACTCAAAATCAACCAACCCTTCTATTCTAAAATAGGACTCTGAGGAAGGGAGATCATCCAGTATTATAATCCCTGCTTTTAAACTACTAGGGTTCTAATGGGCTTTTGATGTTCAAATGTCATTTAACCTGAGTTTATTCTCACCTGTCAGCTAAATTATAAACCAGTTAATGCACATAAAGCATTTTAATAGTTCCTGGCATATAGAAAATAACAAATGTTAGCTACTGACATTACACACACAGCTTTAGAGATTTGTATGTCTCACTGCATTAGCCTTCTAAAAACGTTAGTAAAAGGAAAAATAGCTTGTAAAAAGATGAAGGTCTCAAAAACAGCAAGGCTTATGTACAGAAATTCTTCATGAGCAAAAGTGAAAGTGTTAAGATACACATGGCTACTTCCTGTCTTTTCTACAGATCTCCTAATTTAGCACTGGAGTTTTTTTATTTAAGTTGTATAGATGTGGTTAACTTGTTGGTTTCACAAATAAAAACACATGCTGCATAAACTGCATTCACAGGATAAGCAGTTATGGACTTTTTTTTTTAAGACAGTCTTCCTCTGTTGCCCAGGCTGGACTGCAGTGGCATGATCTCAATTCACTGCAACCAACCTCCACCTCCCAGATTCAAGTCATTCTCCTGCTTCAACCTCCCAAGTAGCTGCAATTACAGGCGTCCACCAACAAGCCCAGTTAATTTTTGTATTTTTAGTAGACACGGAGTTTCACCATGTTAGCCAGGCTGGTCTTGAACTCCTGACCTTAAGCAATCTTCCCACCTCAGCCTCCCAAAGTGATGGGATGACAGGCATGAGCCACCATGTCCAGCCTCATCTATGGGATATTTAGTTGGAAAGTACAGGCTATTCAGACAGTAAGTACAAATCTAATTGTGCTTTGTACTCCAAATAGTCAGGTAATTGAAGAGACGGCATGTTACTTAATCCCTACCCAGAGCACAAGACAATTTCTGCAAGGAGGGAGAAATTCAGAATGTGAAAATGGATTCAATAACTCTATTTCCAGAATATTATCATAAAGCAGGAAGGACACATGCAGCAAAAGTGCCTGTCTTTTAAGTACGCAGTGAGCACTGCGCTCCTCAATGTATGGCCTTCCCAGATTCTTTCACAGACAGGCTCTTTGGCTGTGTGTACTAGTTCCAAGGTTATAAATATTATCCTTAACAAATACATGTGAAAATATCTTAACCACATAGGCAGACTCTTGATGATCTTGGAAAAACATTTCTACCAGAAGAGATTTTAGATGCCCTTGAACAAACTGTCTGGAAATGTTTATCTAACTTCAAATGATGCTTTCCAATTTTAGTATATGCGCTGCCAAAGCGAGCACAAATGAGGCTTTATCTAAAAAGTGATGCTACCAATATGACAGATGGTTGGTTGAATTTTTTTTTAATTTTTAAAAACCAGTAACATTTTTGGCATAATACATTTAAAGAATTAATGAACTGGCTTTAACAATCACATACTTGAGTACCTTTTGAGGTCAGTTTTTATATGAATAGGGCAAGCAGAGTAAGCTCACATTTCACCTCTAACATGCAGTGTCTATGATACTTTATACATGTATTTGCAAGAATAGGCTTTAATAGAGACTGTGCTTCTTTCTGTTTTTGTGATTAAGAAATTAAGCTTATCAGCAAGGAACTGTGGAGTGTCCTGACAGCTCTTATATCACTGCTCTCTGTCTATGTGACTGGTGTATGCGTGGCCTTCATACTCCTCTCCAAAGTAAGTCAAATCTTCTTGCATGGGATGTCTCTATAACCTTGAATATTATCAAAAGAAAAACAATTTCTATCTCTCCACAAGTTATGGACCTCAGCAAGAGCTCATCTAATATTTTCCTGTGCAGCTGCAGGGAGGAACATCACCTGCAGAGGAGGTCTGTGGAAGAAAGCATCATACATTCTCATCACTGAAATTATAAGCCAGAGGACACAACTTAGTGTTTTCTCTTTAAAGCCAGTAACATGGGATTAAGAAGAGAACCATCTGCTAGACTATCTTTCTGCTGTAGGGGTGAGGGGAGGGGAAGTGGTGGGAAGATATTACTGTTATCTATGAAAGCCTTAAGAATGATTTTTTTGTTTGTTTTTTGAGACGGAGTCTTGCTCTGTCACCCAGGCTGGAATGCAGTGGCGCGATCTTGGCTGACTGCAACCTCTGCCTCCTGGGGTCAAGCAAATTCTCCTGCCTTAGCCTCCTGAGCAGCTGGGACTATAGGCGTACATACCACACCCAGCTAATTTTTTGTATTTTTAGTAGAGATGGGATTTCACCATATTGGCCAGACTGGTCTCAAACTCCTGACCTCATGATCCACCTGCCTCGGCCTCCCAAAGTGCTAGGACTATAGGCATGAACCACTTCGCCTGGCCAAAACGGTCTTTAATAACAAAAATGGGTTGATGAAGAGACTAAAAGCAGCCTTAAAATCTTCAAAAACGCCTAAAGTTATTGAGAAAGAATGCCTTTTTGCTATGCGTATAAGAAAAGAGATGTATACATTATGTTAGGATTTCTATAAATCCTACAATCAACATCAGTTTGGTCCACTAGTTTTTAATGGAATAAAAGCACCTTGGAAATGATGTAAAAATTAACTCTTACTCACTATCATTTAAGCATTAAGTCAGTTTAATCTTATTAGGGCATGAGATATCTGCCACCATTGTTATGAGGACATAAAATGCTTCATAGACTTTTCTTCTCTTCTTGGCAGTCAAAATCCAATCCTCTAAGAAACAAAGAAACAAAAGAAGACTTACAAAAGGTACAGACCAACACCTTCAAAATATTTTTTACACTGTGGCTGGTTCTAACTATTTCAAAACTGGTTGAAGTATTTTAAGTTTTTAAATATTTAAAGTTTCAACAGAATATCAAGGTAACTTTCAATCAACAGATACTGTTTCCTATTGCTGAGAAACTCAATGACAAAATAATCTCAATTGATAAACTGCAGCTTAAATTGGACAGTTCTCAACCATAAATTCTATTTAAGGTACTCAAATACAAAAGAGCTAAAGGTAGGCATACATCTGTTGGGAAGGCATAGTTTTTAAGACTGATGGCAATAAAGTAAGAAAAGTTCTGATGATGTGCAGTTATCATTGCTTGTATTCTCAAAGGAAAGATTTTTTTTTCTCATTGTCTTTATAGAAGAAGAGTGCTCGGCGTATTTTTCAAGAAATTGCTCAAGAACTATACCATAAGAGACATGTGGAAACAAACCAGCAACCTGTAAGTGTAAAATGTCCATGAAAAAAAAAATGTAATACAAATAGCATGTTTGAAAACACTAAGCTGCCAAGGAGCTGTCAATAACCATGTTTTCCTTCAGAAGACTCTGAAAGGGAACTTTCACATGAAATGCATTTTTATATAGAACCTGTTTTAATAAATACATAACAAAAGGCATCTGATACAATATTACATAGCCCCAGGCTGGCAGATGAGTGCCATGGAAACTTTCGGAAACATACTGGACACAAGCAATGTTTTCAATATACACAAGGATGCTTAAAAAGGATGGATTGAAAGCTACTCCATACAGTATCCTGCATACAGTGGTAGGCGTTAAGTAGATATTGCAAACATTTGTGGGTCGAATTATGAAAACAATTACTTGTTACTTATAATGCAAAAATAAATTGACATTAGAAATGAGGCAGCTAATGATATTTAAAGATGAGCATTTCCCCAGTGTCTGGAGTTGAACTGAAAAAAATAATACATCCATATCTATAATACATCTGACAGTGTTTTTTTTAAGTCTTATATAAACAGGTTCTTCAAATATGATGTTGTCTTAGCTTCAGCAGAACAGATACTTTGACTACACGATGCAAGATGAGATAGCTCAAATAAGCTAAAATGTGTACAAAATAAGGTTATTTTTATTTTTTAAAATTTATGCAACGCTTCACACATTTCCATGTCATCTTTGTGCAGGGGCCATGCTCATCTTCTCTGTATCAGTCCAATTTTAGTATATGTGCTGCCAAAGTGAGCACAAAATAAGCTGAATTGATACACTAGTAAACATATTTTTCTCTGAAACAGCAGCCAAGAGGGCAAATGCAACAGGAGACTGAATAGTTTTTTTTTTTTAGCCCAACTTTCACTTTTTAATTTTTTTTTTTTTTAACATGGAATGCTTCACGAATTTGTGCATCATCCTGCGCAAGGGCCATGATAACTTTCTCTATACTGTTCCAATTTTAGTATATGTGCTGCCAAAGCAAGCACTAAAAATCTAACTTTTACAAAGGATTTTTGCCAAGGAAAGAATATTGTCTAAGTAGTTGTTTCATCCTCCAGTGTATATATGGATACATAAAAATGATAAATAGTCTAATTACTAAGATGCCACACTGAGTAATTATAAATTATTTTTCTTTCTGAGGCCGGGACATGTTTCAACAAGACCAAGGTATGCAGCCTGAAGGCAGTCCTAGAAGTGAGAATTGTAAAGTTCCCAGCCAGGATTTTGACAATAGCATCCAAACAAGAAAAATATTTTTCAGTTCCCTCATCCTACTCTAAAAACGGATGGGGAAAATGGCAACCTGACCTTTAAGGTTACTGAATGGGCACTTAAGACCCAGAATCCAAGATGGCCCAGTGGTTTGCATGTTGCTTGGTGGGTGGCTTCATTGGTTACACAACTTTAAACATGGCTTTCTATTTATTATTGCAGGAGAAAGATAACAACACTTATGAAAACAGAAGAGCACTTTCCAACTATGAAAGACCATAGAAATGTTTTAGTGTTCAATTAATTCACTGAAAATCCAGCTGCAGGAGCTATGGCAGTGTTAATGAACATACACCATCAGATCTTAAAAAAAATAAAGGTAAACAGAAAAGACAACTGGCTACAAAGAAGGATGCCGGAATGTAAGGAAACTACAACTAACAGTCATTAACAAAATACTAAAACCCAACAAAATGCAACTGCAAAGTACCTTCCAAATTTGCCATGAAAAAATTCTATTTTAAACACGTATCCTGAGTTTGTTTCATTCAACGTGAGATGTGTGATGACTGCCATCCTGAAGATCTGAAGCTAAGCCATATGCCTCAGTCTTGAGTGGAAGAATCATCTTTGTGGTTTGTGGAAATCATGGGACAATTAAAATAAGTTGAGAGGGAGCAAAGTGACAAAATTTGAGTTAGAGACGTTCATTTTGAAAAGCACCTTAGTGAAAGTTACTTCCTCTGATGCTGTCATGGGGCACTGGGGTAGCTTGCCTGCCAGGGTATGCAAAGTAACTTACATCATGCTACTAGCAAAATGAGAACAGAATAGTGACTAGAATAAGAAAATAAAAACCAAAATACAGACAGTCCAAAGCTGAAGGTTAAACAGAGGAAATTTCAGAACAAATAAACCACAACTGACTCTAGATGTCAGTGTTGTGCCAAGTATCAGCACCAGGGAAGGTGTGGGCAACATGTCTACTTTACAAGTACATTTGTAATACTGATTTTTAACCAATTTAGGAGGGAAATGTCAATAGGAGGCAAGGTACAGCAAGGGTATTTATGGAATTCAGGACCACTTCACTAAGAAAACATGATACAAATTGTCCTTTGAAAGCTACTTTGGTATAAAAAATCTAAAGAACTCATAAGTATCAGTATTATTAAACACAAATTACAACCTTACAAACTACTATGTTTATGTCATTTAAGTGTTTCTTTTAAACTGGTATTGCCTAAGATGTATTCTTTTTAAAACTTAGAATTTTAAATACTTTAAGATTCCTTTGAAAGTGTTTTTGCACTGATGGCTGAAATCAGTGATATCAAACTTTTCCTGATCATATGTGCCCAGAAAAATGGACAGAGGAAAGGAGGGAGAGTGGAACCTCATTTTATTTGTGTGTATCTATGTATACATGTGAGTGCACATGTGTGTAGGCACATGTGTTTTGTGTATAGTGTATGCGTGAATATGTACGTATGTACCTTATACACAAAAACAGAAATTAAACAATGGCATAAGCAGCAATACAAATAAAAAATGCTAACATTTTCTTGCCATATTGCAAAATAAACTGTCTTGTGCATTCTGCAGTGTATACTTCCCTACTCTGAGACCACTGGCTCAGGTAAAATAAGAAGCTTCTAAACCAGACTGCAAAAAAGGGCAAGCATTAATACCACCAAGAGAACAGAAGTGTTGAATTCGATCATTTGCTTTTCATTTCTGGGAGTCATTACATTTTGGTACTGAATTGAATTCCAGGGCTGAAAATTCACTGTTCGTTGTGTAACTAATCAGGAGACAAAATCCCTAAGATAAACTAGTATTTTCTCACAATATGCCTTTCCCACTGTAAGCAAAAACTGTGTTTCAAAGATAGATTTTGAAGCTCAAATGTGGCATATACTTTCCCAAAGAGTTATATTCCTCTAGGTCATATATAAGAATATCTGGTGTATACACAGTATTCATGCATTATTCATCTATCTTGCCAACAGTATTTATTTTCAAACTTCAAAACAAGTTTTATTTGGGAAGAGTTTATTTTGTTAAAGCTACAAGCAAGCTTCTTTCCCAATTACAAATCTAGAGATCTAGCAGTTTCAGAGACCTCAGTGTTCAAAAATATATTTCAAAATTAACAACTAAACTAAACCCACACCGAAAGGAAACAGTTTTCAGAATGGTTTGGAATGTACAGCCATTGATTTCAGATGCCAACAATATTTACTGAGTGCTACACTATACAATCAAAGGCCTCTTTGCAAACTATCCTTGGGTCATACTGAACTTGCTCCACCCCACATAAACCTTATTCACACCTTCATGCTTTTGCACATGCTGTTCCCCTCAGCCGGGTACAATGCTTCAGATCACAAACACAGCTCACCCCAACATGAAACCTTCCCTAACTCACCCAGAGGCTAACGGATCTTTTTGTCTAATTCTTCAGTACTTTGCCATTATTTCTTAGCACAATCCCCTGCCATTATCTGTTTATTGTACAGATATTCTATATTCTGTACTATTCTGTGTTTTAAGAGCAAAAGCACAATTCTCATTTATCTTGGTACTTCTATTTAGTACACTGTAGGCCCTCAAATGCCTTTCTATCAATGCAACTTAACAATGTTTCTATAGAAAAATGCTTCTTCAGCATTTAAGATATGTGGCATACTTCAGTCCCTCACCATGAAGCCTCACCCCTTTCCATAAAGACCATTCAACAAATCCCTAACAGTTGTAATTATACTCCTATCTATGCCCAGAAACATTTTCAATGAAAAGGATTAAGCTGTAACTTTTTTTTTTTCTTGAGATGGAGTTTCACTCTTGGCACCCAGGCTGGAGTGCAATGGTGTGATCTCAGCTCACTGCAACCTCTGCCTCCAGGGTTCAAGCGATTCTCCTGCCTCAGCCTCCTGAGTAGCTGGGATTACAGGCACCTGCCACCATGCCTGGCTAATTTTTGTATTTTTAGTAGAGACAGGGTTTCATCATGTTGGCCAGGCTGGTCTTGAACTCCTGAAATCAAGTGATTGGCCTGTCTTGGCCTCCCAAAGTATTGGGATTATAGGTGTGAGCCACTGCACCTGGCCTTGTTTCCAACTTTAATGAAAATATTTCTACTTTAGGCCGGGCGCGGTGGCTCAAGCCTGTAATCCCAGCACTGTGGGAGGCCGAGGCGGGTGGATCACGAGGTCAAGAGATCGAGACCATCCTGGTCAACGTGGTGAAACCCCGTCTCTACTAAAAATACAAAAAATTAGCTGGGCATGGTGGCGCGTGCCTGTAATCCCAGCGACTCAGGAGGCTGGGGCAGGAGAATTGCCTGAACCCGGGAGGCGGAGGTTGCGGTGAGCCGAGATCGCGCCATTGCACTCCAGCCTGGGTAACAAGAGCGAAACTCCGTCTCAAAAAAAAAAAAAAGAAAAAAAGAAAATATTTCTACTTTAAATATGATGCTGATGCTATTTTATTTTTACTTGAAGTTGCTGTTGTTTGACTTGAGATGTTTTGTTTTGTTTTTAGCTCACTGCAACCTCCACCTCCTGGGTATGATCAGTATTCCTGCCTCAACCTACTGAGTAGCTGGAATTACAGATGATGCATGCCACCATGCCTGGGTAATTTTCATATTTTTAGTAGAAACAGGGTTTTGCTGTGTTGGCCAGGCTGGTCTCAAACTCCTCACCTCAAGTGATCTCCCCACCTCGGCCTCCGAAAGTGCTGGGATTACATTTCCCTCTTAAAGCTGTGTTACGGACTGTGTGTTTGTTTGTGTTCCTCCCAAATATATATGTTAAGGCCTCTACCCCCCATCGTGATGGTATTAGGAAGTGCGGTCTTTGGGAGGTGATTAGGATTAGATGAGGTCATGAAGGCCTGGGTAATGCCACCAGAACCCCTCTCTACAAAAAAATACAAAAATTAGCTGGGTGTGGTAGCATCCACCTGTAGTACCAGTTACTCAAGAGGCTGAGGTGGGAGGATTGCTTGAGCCCAGGAGGTCAAGGCTGCAGTGAGCTGTGATCACACCACACTGCTCTCTAGTATGGGCAACAGAGCAAGTCCCTGTCAGAAAAGAAGAAAAAGAAAAATAAGAAGAAAGAGAAAAAGGAAAAAAGGGGGAGAGTAGGGGAGGGGAGAATGTTTTGTTTTGTTTCGTTTTGAAACACCACAAAGCAAATTGCTGGTATCTAGACACCTCTAGTAAAGTTATACATCTAGTGTTGTGCTGGCAAATGTCTAACTACCAGCTTGGAAAAGAAAAAGGCTATTTGCAGTGTTTTCCAATTTCTACAGTATAAATACTCCCATCATGGTCAATTTCAATAATGGCCATGTTTAATAATCAGTTCACTAAATTCCCACCAAAACAACAATCAGCTCTCATAAACCAGTCCAAGCCAGCTGCAGCATCCACAGCTTAAATCTAGACAACCATGTGGAGACATATGTGCTGGTAAGAACTACTTTCCTAGGTACACTTAAGTGGAAAAAGGCAACAAAAATATCTATAATTGCGTACCGCCTGTGTAAGTAATTTTTTAAATGTACATATGTACTTGTATTTGCATAGACTATCTTTTAAAGAATATTCAAGATATCAGAACAAGACTGTGTAATTGGACTGGATGAGAAACTTTTTATTGTAAACCCTCTAGTAAGTTACTTGAATATTTTTTTAAATTACTAAATTACTTTTTTAAAATTATGATTTTGAAAAATTAAACCTCATTAAATGTTTATTTTTATAATATAATTATCCTTTTCTTGACTACATATCTTTCCTTTTTTGGGGGGTACTTAAAAAAATTCACACTAGATTCAATAACCCCTAACCAAAACTGGGTCAGTAAACCAAATAAACTGAAATTCGAACAATATTTTTTTTTCATTTTGTTTTTTTCCAATACAAAACTGCTACAGTTCAACTTCAAGTCATTTACCAAAACAATTACATAAGTAATCATTTCACCTACAACTACTTTTAGTTTAAAAAAAACAAATTAAGCCAAGTATGCAAAGCACACTGGGATATCCTAAAATAGTCCAGTATTCATGAATCTACACAGCAAGACCATTTTGCATCTCCTGGTCCTCACGGTTTTACATGGAAATCATCAGGATCTAATTAGTGACTCAGAGAAAGAAAGCAATAATAGAGTGCCATGGCACAGTGTGGGAAATTTATAGGTCACTAGTCACCCATAGCAACAAGCCTTCTTATCTCAGGTCTGCAGTGTGTCACATGCCAGACTCTCAGACTCAACAGGCAATTCTGCACATCCACAATCAAGGAGCTTGTTTTCCACCCTTCATGGAGATGGCCCTCTTGTCTAGTTTGACTTCCTCTTCATTTTTAGCATCAGAAACACAATGAAATAAAATTCACATTAAAGTTCTATCATGAGGTTGCCCAACAGGACACAGGAAGCCAGGATCTTCCAACCTGATGACTAGTGAGTGCGATGCAGACAGCTGCAGCTGAAGCTTAATTACACAGGTAGGAGCAGCACTGAAGAGGTTGCTGACTCAAAGAAGGAGGACATTTACTAGTTTTTTTTTCACTGTGCAGCATCTAGATGATGTATGTACACTCACATGTAAAAGCAGTTTTTTTCTTTGCCATGACAAGCCACTCGACAACAGGAATGTAAAAATGGAGATCTAAGATGGGAATGGGAAGATTTGTTCTCTCTGTTCTTTTCCACACCCTTCTATGTCGAAAGAATTCCCCATTTTCCCCATTATCAACACAAATCTGAAACCATTTGGTAAATGTTAAGACAAGCATTAAGTCTGAAGGCATTAAGATGTAGGGAGAAAAAATAATGAACCGAATTAAGGAGCAAGCAAGTGACGCCACAAATCCACACAGAACCCAAGGGTTATAAGAAACATAGGCATTATCCCTTAAGACACAGATGTTCATGATATTTGATAATGATGACTTTGCAAAATAGTAATAGATTTCTTCAAAATGTCTGTGAAAACCACTCTTAAGAGTTTTTGAAGTCAAGGTCAAATGAGGCAGTAAAAGAAGAAATCTAAGAATTTTTCAGCTGGGCACGATGGCTCACACCTATAATCCCAGCACTTTGGGAGGCAGAGGCGGATGGATCACCTGAGGTCAGGAGTTTGAAACCAGCCTCGTCAACATGCGGAAACCCCATCTCTACTAAAAATACAAAAATTAGCCAGGCATAGTGGCATGTACCCATAGTTCTAGCTACTTGGGACTCAGGAGGCTGAGGCAGGAAAATCACCTGAACCTAGGAGGCGGAGGTTGCACCACTGTACTCCAGCCTAAGTGACAGAGCATGGCTCTGTCTCAAAAAAAAAAAGAAAGAAAGAAAAAGAAAGAAACACTAAAGATTTTTAAATAGTAACTTGTATTATTCATAAAATAATTTTATATCAATGTACATTAACATGAAAATGCAGGAGACTTAAAGTAGTAACTTTCAAGATTGTCTAAAATGCAAACCACGTAAGCTAAAACTATAAATTATTGTGGCATTAAGTCAGAATGGCCAGAAGTCATAATAAATATGAAGTGATATGAAATCAACCCATTTCTTCTAACATATTCTTCATTCAATATTGCTGAAGAGCAAGACCATGCAATCAAGAAATCAAATATTACAGAAAGAAATTATATATGCTGCAAGATGCATGGTCTTCAAAAGAGAAAAAAAGCAGATAACAGCATTTATCATTTTTAGAGTCTGGCTCAAGAGATACAAAATACAAAACAAAATAGCCATGACATTCAGCAAGTGTATATGACTAGATTTAAAGGCACTGTTTATTGCTCGATTCAGTTGTAAAGCTAATAAATAAATGGTTCAAGTTCCATTTGAAACCAGAGATACAGATGCATTTTTGGCTTTCAACCTCAAGCAGTCAAACCCAGCTAAATATTAATTATCACCACTGCAAGGGGAGTGCTAGAGCTCTGTAAAGTCCACCTTAAGGTGAACATTAACCAAGGTGGTATTTTACATGGATTAACTGGATTATTCTAAACTACAGGCTATTATAAGAAATACTAGACAATATTTAATTGTACACAGCACAAAAACAAGAATCCCAATAAACAGCTATCCTGGGTAAGAGCTAGCCTGACTACACTTACCGTTTTCCACGTAGGGATGAAAGGGGAGGACCAGGGCAAGGATGACCCTGCCTCTCGTTGGCTCCAAGACACTTCTGATATCCTTTAACAAAGTCAGGGGCTGATCACAGCGGTCCAGCAAGTTCAGGCAGCTAATGACATCATACTGGAACCCTGTATTCTGCCATTCATTTATACCAAGCACTCTAGAAAAATCAGAAATAACTGTATTAACATAACATCCCTCTAAAGACATCTTTAAAAATAAGTGAGATGCCGGCAAAGTCTTTAATTTTGTCTTCTAAATTAAGTTCAAAATCTGTTATAATTTATGTTTGCAACCAGGCAAGAGAAAAATAGCAACCATATTTCTTTTTGAGTCGGAATCTCACTCTATCGCCCAGGCTGAGTATAGTGGCGCAATCTTGGCTCACAGCAACCTCCACTTCCCAGGTTCAAGCGATTCTCCTGCCTCTACCTCCTGAGTAGCTGGGATTACAGGCATGTGCCACCATGCCCAGCTAATTTTTGTATTTTTAGTACAGACGGGGTTTCAACATGTTGGCCAGGCTGGTCTCGAACTCTTGACCTCAAGTGATCTGCCAGCCTCTGCCTCCCAAAGTGCTGAGATTACAGGCATAAGCCACCCCGCCCAGCCCATATTTCTTTAAATTTAGCATTTCACCTACTTCCAAATCTCAAAACA